GCACGACTCGTCGTGTTATGCAAGTGAGTTGTAAATCAACATAAATCACGCATGTCAAAACGTTAGCCCGCCTTATTCCGGGCGGTCGAATTCTGGTGCAAATGTCGAGACGCGAGCAGCGGACGTTCACAGCTCTGTATAAGCAATTTAACTCTTGTACTGTTAGCTTAGCTCCGAGTTATAATCTCTTTTTCGACATTAATGCTATTAATTGATTACAATTCATGTATTTGAATTTTCCTGATTGGGAAATATTAGCCCGTTAGCTGTAAGCTGCTTAAATACCTAATACATAACTTTTAGACGAACTTTCTGCATGGGTGTTACAGAAAGTTGGGTTGCGGTGAATGCACTCACGATGCCATCGAAGAGGTTCTTAAGAAAGACCCGTCCAACTGTTTTTAACAATGGCTCCAAAGAAAACAATGCACAAGTGTCATAATGTTTATTTGTGTATCCACTTTCTTTTCGAGTAAAACACACATGGAACTATTCCAGCAAAAATTGCAAATATTTGTCAGGAATTGAAGGCAATAAAAAAGGAAACAAAACAAAGGAAAACTATTTATACCAATGTTTCCAGTCACTAGGTATTTCTTGGCGAATTCTGTTCTAATTTACCTTTTGTAAATTAACCCTGAACTGTTTTTAATATTCTCGTAGGTGCTTAAGCACAAACGTACTATTTTTTAAATTAGTCACATTTACAGCCATCGGACTGTACTTCTTGTACAATATTTTATGCAGTATAAAGTTTAACTTTAAAAGTTTGTGGCGTAACAGCTAAATATCTGAGATTGAATGAACATATACAGCGACAAAACGCCTACACGTTATACTAAAACGACCTAAGTACGATTTAATGGCTTTTGTAATTTTCTTCAGCTAAGAATGATTTATAGGCAACTTTCTGTGCAACATAATCTAATAACGACGCAATAATCAAACCTTTTATAGGATTTGAATGAAATATAGCTATATTTATTTTCGGTTAACTGTTTGGCGCTGTTTATTTTAAGGCACTAAGTATTACATGCATTGGACTATGGTGTGGCGACTCCACATACGGTGAATCAAAGAAACATACTACAGCGCCATCTAACAAAAACACACCGAACTACGGAGTAACTGCTAATTCTGAATCGTGGTATTAAAATTCTCTCGCCGATTAGCATATTTACAACGTCCCAACATCAACCGTTTGTTGTTTCAACAGTAAAACGAAAGAAAATCATACCCAATTATGGTGACCACCATGTCGTCTCCAGGTCATAAAATGTGTCAACCTCACACTTCTGTTTGCTCATACTCGATGCTCTGACCCTGTGACTGTCTGGTATAAGTAGGCACATGTAATAAATTATGAAGCAATTTTGCGAGTTTGCTAAGCATTATCATAAAGCTTTTAACGTTGTATATGTAGCTACTTAATGAATGTTTAGTCTATTCATTGTTTAAGTGGTTCAGAAGTACGTATGTTTATTATTTATTCATTGGTGAAGTGCGCGACTATACAAGTCGTTAACAAGGGACTATGTACTTTGTGGGAATCATAAATATTATATTCAACAATAATCAAATAAGTTGATTTTGTAATACGTTTTATAAGCTGTTTTCAACCTATAATGAAACTGATTATATATTTCAATTTTTTTGTCTGTGTGAATGTATTGTATCTGTGGAAGTACAACTAATTTTGCGACTAGTGTGCAAGACTTATAAAATTTAAACAATAACAGAGAGAAAGTACAACAGAGATGCGTAAAGTAATGGCGTATCACGTACCAACATAATACCTAGTAAACTAATACAATGAATTTCAGTGAACCATTTTGCAGTAGTTAGAATATGCTGAGCTTGGTGAGCAATGACTCAATCTAAAAGAGTTTTCTCGGATCGTTTTTCTTTACGAACTTATTGCTTTATTGAGTCTTTCTGTTACGACATTCTCAAAGGTAGTATTCACAACAAACTCTTGACTTATTGTAAGAGTTGTCTGCACAGATGACGTAGTGGTTTAGTCGGGCACTTCGCCGCTTTCCTTTGCTGAGTATGGGTTCGATCCCCACTTTGTGTGATCTACATATTGTTGTTCTGAGTCTGGGTGCTCTTTGTTACTATTTCATGACTGTTTGTTTATATCACCCGCAGCACAGGATACATTTAGGAATAAAAAAGACAACTCCCGCACTATGAATTTCCTAGTGCGGAGTTCACTTTGTTATTTTTTTTTAATAGTAATCCTTGCTATATTTCGCAAGATCAAATTAAAATATAATATCAATTTAAGGTTTTAGAGTTTTTGGTTAAAAAAAACAAGGTAATGAAACTACATACATTTTGAAAATATTATTATTCTTTTATTTTATTTTACGTGTATATGGGCACTTTGGATACTTACGAACTAGTACACCTAATATAAATATATTCAAACTAGAATATTCATTAAGATTGCGATTTAACATAGTCCACATATCACAGTGATGATGATGAAATATCACAGGCACAAAAACTTAAACAGTCCATTCATTGATGTACTGGCTAAATCTGTCAAATGTTTGTGTGTGTGTAAACATCGTAGAACAAAAATAAAATTATAGTCCATCTAATCTAAGAGGTACCGTTTGACATTTTATACTTTTCGAGACGAAACAATTTTGTATAAGCGTAATTCAAACAATTTCGATAACCTTATCCGTAAAACCATGGAATTATGAAGCAATTTTTATTTTATCGCAAGATGTATAATTCTTAATAACTAAATTTAAATTTTTAAAACAAAGCAAAATAACCAATTTATACACAATAATTATTTTTTTCAAACTTCGTTTCGTAGTGTTGCGGCTCTTCAAATTCACTTGAATACGAATAATTGTTAAAATGTACGAAAATCGAATTTATTAATTCAACGAGTCATTTTCAATCCAGGCGTCTTAAAGTTTTTAAAAATACTTGAAATTCATCTGACATCCAACTGACAACGTAAACGCATATTTAGAATGAAAAGTACGTAAGTTAATGTAATTTTAATATCTTCGTAGGCAAAATCACTCGTATCCAAGTCTCGTGTATACTAAGATTTACGAGTAAAACCTATCATATGTTATTACACGGGCTTTTATAGTAACATACATAAATCTGTAAAACTGTAATCGATTGGTATATATTAAGAAATTATATCGATATCTCTTAAGAATCGGCTATTGTAATAATCGATTTATTTGACCCCATCGCTATACTTCAATCTGTCACAACTGTCAAGCGGTACCTCTTAGATGAAATGTACTAAAATTTAAAGTGACACACACAAAGATCAAATTTGGAAAACAAAAAGCCATAGACATCATACAAAAGGTATAGTAGGTAAATAGTTAATACTGCCACGATTATCTTTTTACCAACAATCACGCTACCCCAATGCCTTCAGCATTAATTAATAAATAAAAAAATATAATATAGAAATTGGCGGTAAGCATACAACATGCCCTAACTAAACTACTAAATGCTTTTATTTCTTGATTATGGCGATATTTCGTACAAAACCCAACGTTTAAAGAACCTGTAGAGTTCATTACTTGCAGGTAGACCTTATGTCAGGATCTATCAGTCGTAAAAACTGTATGTAATAATAATATTTGATTAATATAAATAACTAGCTGATCCGAGCAACTTCATCTGCGTCTTGGGGGTAGGAGGGTAAAAACCACTTTACGACCGACACTCCTCTAAAACTGCTCGACAATTTTTTTTTTTTTTAATATTTGGTAAATATTAAAAAAAATAATTGTCGAGCAGTTTTAGAGGAGTACGACCACAAACACTGTGACCCGAGATTTTTATATATATTATATAGAATGGTTTCTACCAGCAAAAAAAAAATTGGTTGCCTGTAAAGTCGGTATACGGGCGAAAGTTTTACGTGACAACGACTATGTCTGTCTCTCTCGCTCTTAGGCGGGCTAACCATGCCCGATTGGAAGGGACGCGTGCCTCTCACTCGCTCTCATTGTGAGCGCATAACGTGAGCGGAGCGTAACGCAGTTTCTTGAAGTGTCACCCGGCAAACCAATTTATAAGACGTTGTCACGTCAAAAAAATCATTGGCATTGGCAGCTTAATTATCTCCGTTTTAATTTTTCGGTTTTGTACAGATTCTATTCATCCTTAGTTTTCAGACTTCAAAACCCGGACAGAATTTAAAATTAATAATTTCTTGTTGTCATTTATTTCTGGAACCTGAACGATTATATGAGTGCTAATACATTCGTAGGGCTCCACATTTCGGGTCAAGATAAACCTCTCAGACGGCGTGCTCTTTAGTTTGTGGCCTTCTTGTGCGTAATCGAGCTACTCGGTACCCTCTGGTAAACTGGCAGTCACGCGGCTCACCAAGCAAGCGGTCAGCCTCATGCAAAGGTTACGTAATTCTTGTTAATGTAATTAATATAAATATTGAACCTTCCATTATACCTAATATAAATAGCCGACTCGGGCTGGTGTGGAAGTTGCCTGCTGGATTGCTGACGAGGAGGCTCCGAGCAGCATCAGCTCGGCCTTGACGCGCGCCGCTGCGGGATTTTTTTTATATACCCACTTTTTTATGTTTTTTTGAATTGTAACTCTGTATTTAGTTGAAATATACATGTATGTATGACTGAGGTGTAAGTTGTCTTTCTCTGAGGAGTCCCTTAGGTTGCCCACACGCACACCCTTCTGTTTTCGACAAGGCGCCCTGAGGTAATCTCGAGTATTTCTGCTGGGTAAGCCGGTGAGTAGTCCGCCTGACACGTTAAGCGGTTACACTATATAATACTAACTAAGACAAAAAGTAAAATAATTTTGATATAATATCATTTGATATAATAATATTTTTTTTACCTATAACTATGTAGAACTTCATATTCTCTATTAACTCCATAGTAGTTGTAATAGACTAGCAGAATAATAACTTTTTGGACACAAGATTATTTCCAAAAATATATTGCGTGTGCCTCTAAATACTATATAAGTATTTTAACTTTTTTATGAAGCATATATACAACTAGGGTTCCGGTTAGTAAGGCGCCACTCCTGAAACAAAATACACCAAAATCAGTTTATAGTTCAAATAATCATCTGTAGGTGAAAATATAAGATAACAAGAATATTGTCCGATTTTAGTACAGCGCTGTTATTTATATATTTTATTAAGGACAACCAACAAGGCTTACACTAATTTACCTGTTAAGTTTACCATATTTTTACATTGTATAGTGTAGTCTTAATTAATGGCTGCCATGGTATGCATTAAACATAAAAAAGTAGGAAATGCAGTTACAAAACTGATTGAGCTTATCCAGTAACATTAATACATAAATGCGGTACATGTTATAAAGTTACATACACAAATGACATTCAACATACATATATTTACAAAAACTTAGTGATGCTAAGGTTCGCGTTGTGGTTTTACTCGGAAGAGTAACAGCAAAATATATTAACATATACACAACTAATAAAAAAAGAAAACAAAATTTTAAAAAAGAATCGAATCTGTGAAAGTGAAAAAGACAACAGATACTACAATATTCCTTTTTAACTCTTGCGATAATGCCCTATACAAGACAGACCTGACTTTATGTAAAGAGTAAGACAAATCAAAATATATATATATATAATTGCAACATTTACATACTGCTTTTTAGACGTCTGTCGTTCAAACAAATGAAAGAATTTTAACCAGCGGCCATTTCAAACTTTATATTCATGTGCCGAAAATAAGAAGTTAGACAACACAAATAGTCGTATATAATCAGTACCAGGCACAAATATTTAAAGATTTGCAAAAAAACATGTTACAAAAACTGCCGAAGTGTCTACTCATTTTATAATCTAAATCCCACATATTTTTTTCTCTTAAATTTTTTATTGACCTAAGTACGTCTCCATTTCCTTTGGTACTATGAAAATCGTACTCGAGGTACGGGTACATTAAAGTACTCGGACGGTACTTTTACACAGTTTACACTATTCCAAAAGTGGATAGTTTTCTAAAATGTATAATGTTAAATACAATACTTACCACATCGCCATCCGAGTTCCGAGTGAGTATTTGTGTGTGTTGAACGTCGTTATCCGGTACTCTTTACTATCTTTGAAACTTTTCATGATTCTGTCAACACTGAATATTATACAGGCAATAAAACAATTATGAAACTAGTAGTACATAGTCGTAGCATATCTTATATCGCTATTCTATAGTTGCTATAAATAATAACTAGATATCACGTGGTAGTCGAATGTCGATAAATTTAAAGTTGATTTTCTTATTTAATTGGGCCAGTAAAGCTAGTAAACTATCTCTATAATACTCTTATATTAGACGTCTGTAGCTTGATGTTGGTATTTACACGTGTCCGTGGTCAATTTACACCGCTATCTAGATCTAAACTAAGCCTAGCTTGCAGTCACAGACATACTAAATATACTTTAGCTGGTGAAACAACGACGACTTATATTTTTAAATATACTTCGTCTAGTTGAAATAACATTTTGATTTCTATACAAAAGAACACAAAATCCCAATTTTTTATATGTTAAACTAGCTGAGACCTGCGGTGTTACCGGCGTTTGTTGTTATAACCGCGGGCAACGCCGCGGGGCGAAGCTAGTCTAAAAAAAGTAGCCTCAGTTACTCCTTATGTCATCAGCTATCTGCCAGTGAAAGTCCCGTCGAAATCGGTCCAGCCGTTCCAGAGATTACCCGGAACAAACAGACAGACAGACAGACTGACAAAAATTGTAAAAAAAAATATTTTGGCATATGTACCGTGTAAACATACATATGCATTTAGTAAAAAGCGGTTATTTTAATATTACAAACAGAGACTAATTTTATTTATTTGTATAGATTTCCAAAGGCTATCATTTAAAGACGCAATTTAACCGCCAATTAGATGGTAAAAGTTGTATTTTCTCGATTTCGAGGGTAATTCATAATGAAATAATCTTATACTTACGTGATATTAGTGCCAGAAGCTAGTAAAGCTGTCCTTCTCCCATATGGTTTTACGTCTACGGAACCGCAACTGGCGAGAACTGATGCAACCTATGAAAAACATTATTCAAAATACAATTATCCAAGTCGCTGTAAGTCGCAACAACAGGTAAGCATTTTGTCGTCCTATATTTCATGCAAGAAGCCTGCAGACGATTGACGAGAAAACAATATTTTCAGCCATTTAAATCACTGATCTTTAAGTAGTAATGGTGGTCAAATCAAAGCTCATTTTTTTATAATATTGGATGGTATAAAATCAGTGGGCGGAGGAGTTTGTGCCCCGCTAGCTTCACTCACTCGGTGAAAATAGCAACGAAAGAATTTTTTACTCCGGTCGATCAGGCACATTTCTGAAGAAACATGGCTTTCAAACGTATCTCAATCTGGCTTTATCGCCTAAGGCCTATACCACTCAACATCAAGTGCGCAAGTCGGCAGAATCCTTTCCTTCCGACTGACCAGAATTCAGTCGCAATACACTTGCGGATTGCGATGCTTTAGAGACGCAGTGTTCGGCACTGACTACAGGCATCCGGCCGTGGTTCGTTCCATAGTCGGTATCGTCAGTAGTTTGACCATATCGCATACTTAAGTATGCCAGGATGACATTTCGCAGAAGGTGACAGTAGAACATGATCAGGAGGAATATCTCTGCTCGGACTATATTCACCATCGTCTATGTCGTTGGTGAAGGCACGCTCTTCAGCGTATTATGCTATCCTTAATGAGGATGGAGTGTGTTGTTTCACCATCATGTTCATTATTCGGGTGACCCCGACACAGCGCACATAGCAATTTTGGCGAATGTTAGATTTTATTGCTTTCCAAATAGGATGACTACATGGTTTCGCTGACGTTAAGCAGTTACTAGGAAACTAGTTATCGTCTCATTATCTCTCTATATGATTCTGGTGATCCTATACTGGTTACATAGAGTTAATGTGGTTCCTCCCAGACTTAACAATAAACACATCTGTTGCGCTCTAGTCTGCAAAGATCGCGCGACAGCGCCAAGCAGTAACGTATAGTAATAGTTGATTCGACTCTGTCTGTCGCGATGAAATATAGCGACGAGCGGCACTCGCTCTAGGATCAATCTTATTTATATCTTAACCTTAAATCAACCTTGACAGCGCCATGAAAAGAAATTTTGTACATTAGAGAAATCAAACACCGGCCGCAGTAGTTAAAATAACGGTCCGCTGTAAAAATAAAGATTTTTCGCCTGTGACACTTGGGCATTATCAATCTGTTTAAACTAACAACGGGAAATATGTGTGGAGTAAACTATGTGTGTGGGTGTGAGTACTTGAGCGTGTGCGTGTAGTTCTGGCGAGACGCCAGTACTCGTGTGTCGCACATTTGTGGAGCACAGCGTATCTTGCTGCGTAGCGACACGCTGCTTGCAGGAAAACGCACGCGCCAAAAGACACTTTACCGCTCAAAGTGACAATTATTACTACCATAACTGTTTCTTAACATATGACCGCTAATTCTGGATCCGAGGATCGAGACGACGCGGATGAACCCGACACTGTATATAATTTGAATAAAAATAACATTGTTTTTTTTTTAAAGAAGTTATACAATTAATTACTTTTGAGCCACGCCAGGTAGCGGACGATTTTGTCGTTATTGTCATGATTACACTTTCATGATAGTCGGTAATCTATTGGCATTTTGGCTTGACGAAGTTACTGCAGAACAGTTTCTAAAAGTGTGATTCTAGAAATATGTACGCCTCTAATTGTTTCCATTGTTCTTCAAAACGTCATGAACGTGGTACAAATTTATTACATAGATGTTGTTTCCGAGTAACTTAAGACTGTTTAAGAAACATACTAGATGTTGTCAAAACGTTGTGTAAAGTATTTTAGCTCGAGTCACACGAGTTGATTTGATTGGGTTTACCGCTATTTAATATTTTTATTCGTCGCTTTCAGAACGCAGTGATGATTTAATACGACATACATACACATAACATGGCAGGCTATGTAGTATTTGATAAGAGGTGTTTATTCATTGTTTGTTAACCGTTGATCAAATCACTCAGTAATAAGTAAAGCAAATATTTAAGATACGAGTGAAGCTTATGACATAATAACTGTAAGCACAACGGAACGACGAATGCCAGGTGTACAACAGCTACGTTTACTACACACTTGAGATACTGCACCTGTTGTAATAATGCTAGAAAATTTAGAAGAATAAAGAAAACTGATAATTATTTCAGTATAGTAACGGAAATGCTAATTATTTAAAAAAACAGTCGTTAAAAAATTAAACATTCTAAAGCGCCTTAATAAAATATCTCTAAAAATGAGACAGCGTTTGAGTTTTTTTAATTATTTTTTTTTAAGGAAGAGGCATACGAGCAGACGGGTTACCTGATGGAAAGCGACTACCGCCGCCCATGAACGCCTGCAACTGAGGAGTTACAAGCGCGTTGCCGACCATTGAGGAAGGAGTGCGCTCTTTTCTTGAAGGTTTGAAGGTCGTATCGGTCCGGAAATACGAGTAGACGATAACTTGTTCCACAGATTGGTTGGGCTAGGCAAAATGAGAGGGCGGCCTCGGTGGGCCCTCGCTCGCAGACCGAGAGGTGAGGAGAACCGGCTTTATGAAGAGTACCGAGAGGCACGGAAAACTCTGAGGCTGGCCATTAGCCGCGCTAAAGAAGTTAAGAGAAAGGAGATGCTGGAGGGTCTCAACCGTGACCCTTGGGGTCGTCTCTATCGCGCGGCGCACTCCGCTAAAAGCTCCGCGCGTCAGGCGAGTGTTTCCCTGAGTTCTGGAAGAGCGGGAAGCTGGTCCTGTTAAGGAAGCCGGGACGGCCTGCCGATTCGGTCTTGGCTGGGCGTCGCATTGCAATCATCGGAGGGGACCTCTCGCTACCGGCCGTCATACGCTCCATGGCCGATAGTGACAGATGTTTTACATGCATCCTTCTGCGAAGACGTTATCTCACAGAAGAAGGCAGCGCCTTACACCTCCCCTCCATAAAGGCCAGCCGCGAGGAGGCGACGTCCGCGTGTGACAGACGTCGCCTTAATGGAGAATGTACCAAAAGACAGTGCCCGCGCCATTGCGGGCAGGAGCTAGGAGGGGTCCGAATGTCTTAATAATAGCAGTTCCCGGATCTCTCCTATTACGAGCGCAGAGTGGTTTTAGTCGGTCCGACACACCACACCGCCGTAAACCCCGGTGGGGTGACGGCCTACGGGTGACACCTAAAAATAAAAAAAAAAGGAAAAATGGGAGGTTGGGATTTTCTTGATTTTAATGGCAAATGTTTTTTTTTTGTATCAACTTACTAAGATTATTTTATTATTAAAAACTCAAATTATGTCACTTTTTATGCTTTTATTTAAACCGGCAAACCTAGGTAGCCCTAATTATTTGTATGCTATTTTAGTGGAAAAATGTATCTTGTAATTATTGTTCTATCTATCAACGTTTGTAGCACTTTCGATGTACATTTATGCAAATAAATTTATTTTTTCTTGTAACCTGCACAATAAAAAACATCATAATCGGTATCCAAACTAAGTCAGTAATTTAAAAAAAACTGAATACCCGTCTTTTTGGCAACGCAAAACGTAAAACATTAGTTATAACTTCAGTTGTCATCTAACAGTCTAGATTTAGTATCAAAATGACTGTCCCGCCCTTAACCCGTGAAAAATAGAAAAGAATCCCTTCCCGAATAAAAAAAAAGTTTTGTTACGTATTATGACGTTAGTCATAAAAAATCATTTCACGTAGTCAGTGGATGTCGTTAGCAACTGCGTTATAATTGTGTAGATAGTGAAACATTTTATGTATTTAAGTATGTACGTCTGGTGATCCGATCTCCACTCAATATTAGTCTTATTATGGTACAAATAACCAGTTCTAACTTGTTAACATAATCAAGAAGAGTCTACTCTTACTCAAACATAGTATTAAAAACTTATAACCATTTAGTTTAAGTACGGACGCATGCATCTTTTTTTTTATGTTAGTAGACGAGCAGACGGGTCACCTGATGGAAAGTGACCATCGCCGCCCATGAACGTCTGCAACTCAGGAGTCACAAACGTGTTGTCGGCCTTTTAGGAAGGAGTACGTTCAGTCACTTGAACCAAAATCAATGCGTGTAAGTCATGATGAATTTGAATAAACGGTATTCTTCATTTCTTTATTCTCCACCATTAGTAGTAGTATTTTTTCTCAAAATTAGAATGGGACCAAAGAATTAAAACGGATTTTTTGAATCTCTTCATAAATAGCTGTTATGAGGCTACAAATATAAAAAAAAATACAACCAAATAGAGACCCTCCTTCTTTTTTGAAGTTGTTTAAAATTATTACATACATAATATATACGTAACGTTACCTGTTACATATTATGTAACAGTTAACTTGAATAAGCAGAAGGGTATCACTGTATAGTAAGAAGTGCTTTCAACTGCATTCTGTTCGAAATCGTTTGTCGCCAGTAGCACACATTTAGACGACAATCATATTTTAACACGCTTACCGAACTCGTAGGTCGAAGTCATTCAATTCGTCACAAGTGCTCTACACTATTTTATTTAGTGTGGGATTGCTAATTATTATACCTGTCCTACGTTGATAGTGCGCTGAGCAAGCGTCTCAATAAGCAGTATCCCCGGACGGTGGCTCGGTGGATCAGCTCCTACCAGACTCTGTAAAAATAAATAAAATACAAGTATGAAGAACAAAATTTTAATTGCAAGACCTATTTTAGACATCATAATACGTTTTCCCCGTTTAAGGTTATCTCAAACGGGTTTTAGAGTTACATAATATAATAATAATTCAAATGTCTGCATCACCCCAAGGTTGACTGGAAGAATATGCCTATGGCATTAAGCCCGTCTTATGCAATGTATTTGCAGAAAGTATAAATAAATAAATAAATAAATAATCAGTTCACACATCTCAACCGCGGCAGTCTAATTCCAATCTAAGCAGAGCCAGTAGTATGGTAACCAGACTGATGATTAACATACTTATACCTATACTACCTAATTAAAATATATTTTGGATAAATTATACTCAGACATAAGCAAATTATCGTACTCGTCACACAATCACACACAATCTTCACTGCATTGTTGGTATAGCGGTTTAAGCGGTCACTCGGTCACACGGTTGTTGTGGGTCCGATCCCCACATGGGACAACACTTTGTGTGATCCACAAATTGTTGTTCTGAGTCTGGGTGTCTTTTGTGTCTGTTTCATGTATGTTTGTAAAGTCCCCTGCGATACAGGATTTATTCCTCGATACAGGAGTTGTCTTTTAAAATTAAAAAATAATAATATTGATCCTGGATTTGAATCGTACTCGTGGTCAAAGCTAGTGTTTGTTTGATTCCAACATTTCATTTCATTGTGAGCCCTAGGTAATGAGACGTCTGCACAACACAAAAAGTCATTTTATTTGCAAAACGACTGGTTAATATTGAGAACACTAATATTACATTTATTACCCAGAATATTTGAACTGGACAAACGTATAGGATGATTAATAGCAACATCTGTTGTACATCACAACTAGTGTTCGGAATATTAAAAATATCACACAGCGGAGCATAGGATTCCGTCAAATTTTTTTGCGCAAACGTCTCTCATCTTTCGTCGAGTCTTTCAATTTCTGGCACAATTGTATGACTAATGCGTTGTTAAGATTTCTAAGTAACATTATTATATTTAAAACTGCTTGCTATAAATATACACGGTAGGTGTCTCGTGACAGATCAATCCAATTGCACACTGCACTAAACCCTCTAAAGGAGTGCAAAGTGTGAGCGCAATAGTTTTTTTTTCTTTAATCGAGTCCAGCGAACGCCTTTCAATATTATACATAAATAATGTACACTCAGATATTGGATAATACACACCCGTGACAGAACACGGTATGGTTTTAGTTTTGGTCGGTTTAATTCTGACAGGCGAATAAGACCAATATTTCTTCTTTCGAAATTCGTTTCGATAAAATAATAATGATTCTTCTTTCAAAACTCGTAAATAAAATATCTTTTGATGGATAAGTCTCGTCTCTTTTGTTTACAAATAAATAATTTCATTATAAAACAATTATTGAATATAGCTCAATTTTCAAAGTTTCACATATTAATGAATTCAACATATTAAGAAAGAAAAAAATATTATTCTTTTGTCGAAACCAGTTTCGATAAAAGAATTATTATTATTTCGAAACTGGTTTCGAGACTTGGTTTCGTAGGCGGCCGAAGGGAATTTACTAGACATATTTTATTATTAGTGATCCCCTCCAAAATTTCAGCTGCGACAGCGCCTGGTTATGTCCAGGGTTCAAAGATCGTGTGGCGAATACCACATACAACGAAAGAGAAACATACTTCAGTACCTCATAACGACGACACACCGAACTCCGTAACGCCGTACCGTAGTTTTCGTAAAACTGATAATCATGTGGTTCGATTCCCACCTAAATAAATCTGTGATGAGCACGATGATTCGTTCTGTGTCTGGGTGTAATTTATCTATAGTATGTATGTATTTAGAAATATATGAGTATGTTTATTAGCAGTCTGGTTACCATAGCACAGGCTCTGCCTAGTTTGGAATCAGACGGCCGTGTGTGAGATGTGTGAAGTGTGAAGTTCAGTTATTATTATTATAGGAAAATAATGTTTAGCAAAACAGATTAACTGCCGTTTTAAAACAATAGCTTGTTTAATTGTTCAGTGTACCTATTTTTAATTCCTGATGAACGACTGAAGTTTTTCTTTAATTTATGGGTAACACACCATACACTTCTATTTGAAACTGATGATTTTCTTAAAACGTGATTTTTACATCAAAAAGAGTAACTTTTTTGCATTTTTTTAATTTACTTTATATGTGCTCTACTTTGCCTTGCATTGAAAGTATGTTTGTTTTGTCATTCAGGCCTGTCCTAGTTTAGATACCAGTCTCTGACATAGAAGCATAGCAATGTGTCTAATGTAAGTTTGTTTTGGTTTGCCTAATGTGTTGCTGTGATAATATAAATTATTAAAAAAAAAAAAACTCATCATCCCTTTATAAATAATCTTTGAAACAGAACTAACTCGGCCATAATCTCAAGTGTAAATATTTTCAAAGAGACCAACAAAATTGTTAGACTAAGAAAAAACATAAGTTACCATATATGGTATAGCGCCTCGTATAATGTTGACTTTGTTGGCAAAGGGCGCCATAGCTGCGACGGTTTCAGTTGGCCCCACCGGTCGGTAGGTGCCGCTGTTCTCACACGCCATCCAGTGTCCGAGACGGATGAAGCAGTAGCCTAGACATCAATATTATGATAGATATTATAAATTGTATTACAACTTTAAATTAACGCGATCAGAAGGTATTACATACGGATTACATTACACACCAGCGTCTGTCGCTCAAAACGAATAAATTTTCTCAGTTTTTGTAACATTTTTCATTGATGCTCCACCCCTTTGGTCGCAGCGCGATGTTAAATAGCCTATAGCCTTCCTCAATAAATGTGCTATCTAACACTAAAATATTTATTTTTATATTGGAATCAGTAGTTCCTGCGAGTACCACGTTGAATCAAACAAGCAGACAAATTCTTCAGCTTTATAATATTAGTGGTGTCGTGACGGATTAAGAATACAGAGTGTCAGCACCCCTATTCATCGTGTCGTGAGAGCCGACTGAGGGAAAACACTACGCAGAACAACAGCACTGCAGAGAGAAGGAAAACTTGACACAAACCCTAATCCAACCCATCTGGCCAGCGTGGTATAGTAGGCCGAAACCTCCTCTCTAAGAAGAGGCTTAAGCCCAGCAGTGGACTGTTAAAGGCTGTTGATGTCATAGATTATACGGAAAGTGACATTACATAGGACACTAGTGGAGGTCACAGTCGGAAAATCCTTCTGTGACCACGGCCAGTGTAACCTGTTCGAAACGTCAGGTAATTGAAAGGTATGGAATACCTATTGATCAGTGATAATGAGAAGTGAGGATAAATGGTTTTCTGTCTAAAGGTAGGTATATATTTTGTTATAAATTTTATTTGCAATTAATGAATATACCAGTAACTAAAACCCTTCCTTGAACCCGTTATACAAGTATTACAATACATTATTTTAGGTTAGACAAGGTGAGGAATGAATACATTGAAGGAGGCCTGAAACTAGCGGTAGTGGATGAAAGTTAAAAACCAGAGGTTATCCTGGTATGGACATGTGATGCGTAGAGATGAGCAAAATCAAGTGGAGAAGTTGGATGTAAGGAAGTTGACGGATTTAAAAGTAGAGGACGACCTAAGAACAGATGAATGGCAGAAGGATAGATAGATGGAATGGATATCAGGATATGGCTGGAAAGAGAGTAAACAGTGAACTGACGAGTAATGGTGCAGGTGCATGGAAGATGAAAAATCGTTGCGCTGACCACAAATAAATTTTGAAAAGGCTAAGAATAGGGACGCTTAATCTTTCTAGTTATTTATCTATGTTACCTGAACAAAAGGAGTCCCAGCCAGCTTCATGATACGTTTGTTTCACGTTGAACGGTTGACTCACTTTTATAAAACTGACACCATTTTGTAATTTTCTACACTTGCCCTCAGCAAAGAACTCGTATAAACTGAACAAATAAAATAAAATAAGAACAATGCTGATCTATACAAATAAATAAAATTGAAGTGTCTGTTTGTAATGTCAAAATACTAGGTTATTTGCATGCTCATACAGGTTTTTTGCAGGATATTTTTGTCTAAAAACCAGTTTAAATATTTTTTGTTTGTCTGTCTGTCTCTCTGTCTATCTGTTTGGTCCGGGTAATCTTCAAAACAGCTTGATCAATTTCCATAATATTTACTACCAGGTAGCTGTCTATATAAGGCGTACCTTAAGCTATTTTTTCTCTAAGGAAAACCCTCATGAACTGTACTCCACCACTAAGTCAACGCTTTTCAAATTCCACGCTTACAAAGTCGCGGGTACCAGCTAGTTATGAATTTTGAATTTTGTCATTTACATACATATTTTGCTTAAGTGAAGCCTTATCGTTTATTGAGTGAGTAAATGTATGAAGAAAAACAAAACAGTATCCGGTACAGTATGTCAAATCGAATTTAAATCTACTTAAAGTAGGGTGTTTCCTTAGAAGTTGAAGGAAAAGTGATTTCCCTTTCCATAATATATAGTTAAACCGCCGTAAGCTTGGCCCTCCTGACGGTTTGCGGGACGCGGGGCGGGTGATGCGCTCGGCTATACATGACACGATGTACTAACTCGATATCTTCAGATTTATTTGTTTGAGATTTAATCTACACACGATGTAATGAAAATCGAATTTATTTCCATGTATTATAATGTCGGTGTATTGTAAGTTTTTATGATTAATTGTAAAATTTAATACTGTAAAATAATTTTAATAAAATCACCTTATCTTCATCATGTAAATTATATTCAGATACAATTTAAAAATTAAGTAAAATAATAAATATTCTTTATTGGAACTTTAACAGTAGAACCTCTGTAAGCCGAACTTCAAGTTTTTAAATCTTTTTGTGACGCAGAGTCGGCAGATTATCCATGTTGCAAAATAATACCGTGTGTAGCAGTCTTAATAAAAATAACACGTACAGCCATGCTTTCACGTCAGTCACTGCCGGCGGACAGCGACGCACTAGCTAATTGGTTGAATGTACCCCCGCCCCGCGTCCCCCAAACTATCAGGAGGGTCAAGCTTACGGCGGTTTAACTAAAGATCAGAGACAATCTCCAAGTAACAATATTCAAAGGCCTAGATTTTATACAGGTTTGGAAATTCAAAGTATGAAAAGCTTGAATAAAATTTAAGACTTATAGCCTAACGGTGTTAATGTATCTATGAATATACTCTAAACACAATACACTATCATTATTTCCTGTATTCAGTATTTACACTAGCTAAGTATAACTATATTTATACTAGAAATATTACGGCTGTTTTAATAACTTTTAGAAACTTATTTATTTTATTTATATATTTATTTTGGATCACCAACAAACGATACACATTTCTACAATAATTAAAAAAACATACAAAAACATTCTTTGTGATCATTCACTTATAGGCAATCACAACTAATTATAATTACAAAACATTATTAGGAGTGTAAAATAGATTTTTAAAGACTTGTCCAGTTGTTTATGAAATCAATATTTAGCTTGTACAAAAAGCGACAAAAACACATTTTAATTCTATAAGTGGAAAAATATAAAAGTGACGATCTACTCTGAAGACACGTAAAGCAAAACGTCTAGTGTTACGCGACTAGGCCACAACCTTTAATACCGTTATAATTTGATACTGACAATAAATAGATTACAGAAGTCGTTGAAACAACTAAGAGAAGGGTCAGAATAATCAGACTTAATTTAGAATGCTTTTGCTTTAGTTTTTTCTTGTTCTTAATTTGAACATAAAGCATAGCATCTTTGTTTGCCCATCTTGTAGTTATAATTATGTTTATCTGTGGTTATAATCTAAATTTCAGAAGTGTCTAGCGGATGTGTTCTATTTGTTTACAAATTTATGCCAGGAGATAGTTTCCTGTTTCTCATCAGTGAGTTAGAATAACAAACTGCGAAATATAAACCATGAGGTTGTTTTAAACACAAAGTAGAGCCATTGAATGCAACTTCGAAATGCATATAATAAGGACCTAAAAGTTTAAAGGTATTCGTTAAGATATAATCATGTTTCTCCAACATAGGCAAGAAAAAACATCAGCAAAATGCGAGGAAAATAAAACCTACATCGAATAGAAATATACGGATGGCGTTATCAAGAAGCGAGTAGTATTAGTTTACAGCACCATCTCGTAGTACACAGCGGAACTAATTACCTACAAAACTAAGCCATGCAATCAGTTTTGTTTTCTTTTCGCCTAACTATAACCGTTTTAAGAGGGACACTTGGCAAAAATTCACGAACATACAATAAACTAAATAAAGCTAGTGTTTCAAATACACAGCAAAAACAACGTAGTAAATTTTGAGTGTGATGTTTACATAGTGTAAAATTAAGTCGCTTTTTTCTTTTACGCTTAGATCTTTTAAACTAAGCATCGGATTTTTACCGGTACAGAGAGTGATTCAAGAGAAAGGTTTATATGTTTAAATCATGCATATTATGGTAGAGAAAATCAGAGAATTTAAAAGATTTGTTGTAAAAAACATGTTTTTGAGCGCTTACATTGCAAAGCTAATCCTTACGAGATAGACCAAACTCATGTACTACGGACATGTATGTATATCTTAAAAAGATCTACAAAAAGTCGGTATATATAGTGTAATTAATTTCTCCACACTGACACTACATTAGTAGTATCTACATTGCACCCGTGCGTAGCCGGGGCGGATCACTAGTATTATCTAAATAAACTTATACTTACTCTTGTAACATATTTGACCTCCATACTTCATGGTAGCTTAGCATCTTAGACATCTCACTTGATATGTATTTCGTATCATAAAGATGTGGCAACATATTATGAATATTTTTCTTGAACACCGAATATTTACTTGGCAAGGGTCCGATAAACTGATTATGAAGAAAAACAATGTCTAAAAATATATTATGTCCAATTATTGGTTTCTGTAAAGTTTCTAACAGAGAAATTATTCGTGAGAAACCGAGTAGGTTATTCATAAGATCTTCTTCTATTATTGCCATCGGCGCACTGTTTGCGCCTTCTACGTGTTTGTCTCTATAAATAAGAATCTGTAACAAAAATAAAATTATAATCAAACATCACAGAATTGCCTACCAGTATTAGGGCAACTTTAGTTAAGTCAGAAACTCGACAGCGCACAGACTATTTTTAGTACTAGTCCACTTTTGTCGTTAGTAGATGCAAAAAAGTTAGAAAACTTCTAGTAATTCTTACGAGATGTTATTGGGTACTTCAATAGTAACGGCTATTAAACAAAACACATTTAAAAACAGTGAAATTATATGTTGTGCAGTTATATGTCTATGATCAGTGAACCTGAAGATCTCCTGATCTCTTTCACTGTTAGGTTTATACATATAGAGCCTTAATACCATTTAACCATTTTTGAAAAAAATATGTTGTCCTTTCACCTTGATATGATTATCGCCGCCCATGAACGTCTACAACTATTCATGTTTGTGTATACCAATTCAATTTTTGATCATTTTACCAATCAAATAATTAGTAAGATCAAGCTACTTGCTTAACTTACCTTCTTACTATTACCTAAGCTATCTGTAGTAAGCATGTTAGGGAACCGTATTCTGATCTCATTATGCACCAAGTATCGTAGTATAGGGTTTTCTACATCCAAGTATATTGTGTCATCTTCACTCGTGCTTTGCCACCTGCAAATATAATGACCTTCTGTTATATGTTCTGCTTCACCACTAATAAATGCCGGACTGTTTGGTGATAAGTCAGTGTATACAATCGTGATATACTACAACCCAAGACTCAAAGCAGTATCTATGTTCAAAGAATAAAGAGAATGTTTTACTTCTTACATTTACCATTAAATATACAAATTAGCGTTTAGGAACACTTCAGTTAAAGTATATTAATATTTCTTCTAAATAGCTGTACGCCATCTTAGCTATTGAAATTTACTTTTGTCTAATTTTAGCCAAGTTTTTTTTTAATTTGCCTGAATTACAATGAAAAAAAACAACCTAAATATTGATATTCAGTCACTTTAATTTTGAGATAGGAAAGATTTAGTTTCTATTAAAAAAATACCTACTTGCAATATGCCAGTTAATGTTAATAAGGGTTTATTTTCATATTGTATAGTTATGCAGTATGTTGTTTAATAGGAGAAGTATAATATAACCTAAATATTGATTTTCAGTCACTTTAATTTTGAGATAGGAAAGATTTAGTTTCTATTAAAACAAATACCTACTTGGAAGTTTTCTAATCCCGTTTTTTTATCCAGAAACAAATCCTTTCATGTCTTTGTTACTTCATTTATACTTTAATACATTATATATACATTAATACAATAAATTCCTAAAGTTGCTTGTGGTGACATACAACAATACAGACTTCAGTTCAATCTAGCAAAAACAAACAAAATTATATTAATCAGTAGTTTTGTTTGTTGGTAAAAAAAGTTATAAATAAATCATAGCTAGTTGAATGACCCTCTCCTTGGAGTTGTATACAGCATAGTAAAATTGACTGCAAGACTTATACTCAATTAAAACCATGATGTAAATTTGTTGTTCCTTAAGCCTTAGTTAAAAACTATAAGTTACTTTTAAACTTTCGCGTTCCATGATAATTAATATTATTTAACGGGAATTAACGCGCGTTACAATTAAAGTGCAGTGTTAATCTATCTCAATCGGACTATGATTTGTGTGACCGGGTTACGTTTTTACAAGCGAGTCGTACCTTCGAGTTATGTAGTAAAAATTTTGATCGAAAGTTCTCGAAGGAATATAATCGACGGTATACAGAAAATAAAGCGTCACCCGGGGTACCCGAGAGATCGAAGGACACCGTTGTAAACTTGTCAAACGTGAGTTTAGATGATACAACAATGAACATCTTGGCTAAAGGTATGAACTTCGCTCCGACACCTAAACGAATACCGTTCGAGAATGTAATCAGTAGCGTCGAGGAATCGATTACACGGAACAAAGTACCGCCCGGCGATGCCGATATCCTAAGACAGGACGTTGCGGTAATATTACGTCGGTCAAAGCTTCCGGCTAGTAATATCACTATCGAAGAGCGTCAAGCACTAAAAAACATTAGGGATAACCAGGATATTTTAGTGCTTAAGGCCGACAAGGGAAACGCTACCGTAGTGATGAATACAACTGATTACAAAAGCAAAATACTTGAACTGTTGAGTGATAATAAGGTTTATAAACCGGTAACATACAACCCCACGGCCAGAGTAACGCGAAAAATACGATCTCTAATCCGGGACAATGAGGACCTATTTTCAGAAGACGAGTACAACAGACTGTACAAACCAAAGTCACACCAGCCACCGAAATTATATGGTCTGCCTAAGATACACAAGCCTGACGTACCGCTGCGGCCGATTGTAAGTCAAATTGCTTCTCCTACTTACGATCTAGCAAAGCACGTTGCTTCAGTATTGCAACCACTTATAGGCAAAACACCGTCTTTTGTGAAAGACTCACGGCACTTCATACAAATCATAAAAGATCTGACGTTGGAACCGGATGACGTCATGGTGAGCTTTGACGTGGAGTCGCTTTTCACCAATGTTCCAATAAAGGAGTGCCTAAACGTCGTAAAAGACCTACTGAGAGACAACGAGCTGCCCTTAAACTATATGGATCTACTTGAACACTGTTTAGAAGGCAACTATTTCCTTTTCCAAGGTCAACATTACCTCCAGATTGATGGTGTCGCGATGGGAAGTCCTGTAGCCCCAGTACTGGCCAACATCTGGATGGAACATTTTGAAGAGAAGGCTTTAAATCTCGGCCCGAATACCGTTAAGCTATGGAAGCGATACGTGGATGACATTTTCAGTATCGTCAAAGGAAACAAACAAGAAGTGGATCAATATATACAACATCTGAACTCTATTCACCCCAAAATGAGGTTTACATATGAAATGGAGACGGACAGGTCGTTGTCCTTCTTAGATGTTAAAGTAGCCGTGAGATCGGATGGGTCCTTGTCACACTGTGTGTACCGTAAACCTACTCATACGGACAGATACCTACACGCCACGTCTCATCATCACCCCCGGCACTTGCAATCTGTTATGACTTCACTCAAAAACAGAGCTTACGATCTCTGTGACCCTGAACATTTAGAACAGGAGCTAAAACATGTTCAGGAGGTACTCAAAGGTAACGGATATCAAGTGAAAGGAGGACGGAAGCAACCGAAAATAAGACGCAAGTATCCAGAAGTGAACAGGCAACCGGCCTATATGCCTTATGTCAAGGGTGTTACGGACAAGATCGGGTCTGTACTAAAGAAATATTCCATTCCGACAGTATACACACCAGGCATAAAGGTTCACAACATCGTCGGCACACCGAAGGATACATTGCCACTACAAACTCCGGGTGTTTATAAAATAGACTGCAGCTGCGGAAGCTCATACATAGGCCAAACTAAGCGGACTATTGCAGAAAGGGTCAAAGATCATATCGCTGCTGTGAAGAACCGACAGACGAGCAAATCAGCGATTGCAGAACATGCACTCGATGCAGGCATCAACCACTGGATTGAATTTCACCGCACGCAAGTCCTCTCCACCGAACGTCACTTTTACTCAAGAGTTGTTCGTGAAGCGATTGAGATTAAAAAGCATAAAACTTTCAATCGGGAAGATGGTTTTAAATTATCTACAGCGTGGAATCCAGTGTTAAAAAACATACCACCTCGCTTCTCTGCGCAATCGGTTAAACACCAGAATAGGGACTCATCGGTTTGCTTACAGAATAGGGACACTGTTAGTGTGGTATGTGACGGTACATGGCGACACAAAAATAATATCGAAAATGTGCGGGTAGATGAAGAGCCTTCTACTTCACGGATTCGACGACGGAGGGCGTGCGCCGATGAGCCAGTCAGCCTGTGACCACGGCCGGTGCAACCTGGTCGAAACGTCAGGCAAACCAGAGGTATGTAATACCCTAAATAAGAGATCGCGTTAATTCCCGTTAAATAATATTAATTATAAGTTACTTACTTAGATACTTGAGAGCAGTATCCTTGAAGTAGTCTTTCCTCACTTATATCCAATGATTGAGTAAGCTTCTGTGGCATTGTTTTGTCTTTTAAGTCTTGTCGCACCTTTGCTTCTTCTGCCTTACTTAGGAAAGGAAGTCCTTCATATAAAAACTAGAAAACAAATCGGAAACCATATTTAAAATTAAAATAATACATTAAGTAACTTTCTAGAAGCACAAAAATGAGATTCAATTTGATCTTAAAGATCATTAATAGTTTCCTTAATAACATAGCCTGTGCAATGGACTACTACTACTAATTTAATAACGAACTACTAATTTAATAATATATAATTACTAAATACATACATGTTATAGATAAATAATACCCAGAACAAATGATTGTGCTTATCACAATTTTTTGTTCTAAGTGGGAATCAAACCCATGGCCTCTAGCTTAGCAGTGAGAGTCACTAACCACTAGACCAACAGGCCTGTAAGTCAGGGTTTATTTAATGATAAAGGATAATTATGGCAACATTGAATATGTTCTCAAAATTATGTAATTACAATATTTTAGAAATGGTGTGTGCTACCTTGTAGAATGGTTTGTATTATTAACACAAAATGAAGACAATTACAGAGACATGTATTCTAAACCAAACATGTAGTATGGAAAGAAAAAATATATCTCACCTTATTAAAATCAAAATTATGCCTGCATAGGAACTTAAGTGAAGATGCTATGAAAATAAATGATTGGTCCAAATCTCCAAAACTTTGTGGACACAAGTGGAAAGTATATGCAGTAGCTATGTAAGTGTCCAGATCTCGTTCATATTGAAACATTGTCAACCCAACCTGTGTCATCATCATTTTCCTTACTTCATTTTTTAACTTCTCATATCTTTCTTCATTTGTGTCAAATAATCTAAAACATTGAATAAAAACTTGAATTATATGTAAGTTAAAATAAATTAGTATTAATTATGCTCTGTGTGGTGACGGATTAAGAACATGGAGTGTCACCACCTATATTCATCCAGTGGGTATTGTACTACATGAGCAAACTATGCACAGCAAAGAGAAGAAAAACTTAAAACAAACCCTATACCAACCCGCATGGCTAGCGTGGTATAGTTGGCCAAGATGTCTTTTCTAAGGAGAGCAGCAGTGGACCATTCATCATCAAACTTTTTCTAAAGCTGTTGATGATGATGAGTATTGATTATAACTTTTGGTTGTCCAACGATCTGGTGAAGGTAGTGGGAAGCAGTTGGATGTGTTGTGTTGAACTTTGGGTGAGGCCTAAATCCAGCAGTAGACGTCTTTTTGCTCAGATGATGATGATAACTTTTGGTCTATTGTAGCAAAAACTAGAAGAGAGAAATTTTTGAGTGTGATTATAACAACTACATCAATAAAGACGATTACTCATGATTGAATGAAGTGAAGAATGACTGCACGGATGGCATAGTGGTTTAAACAGTCGTCACTCCGCTTCCTACTACGCCGAGTATTGTGAGTTCAAACCCCACATGGGACGACACTTTGTGACGACGACCAAGATATTTATTTTTGACCCATTGAGTAACTTTTAGTGACATCTGTAACAGCTTTGGCTCTCCAGAATCTAAGATCCCTGTTCGCATAGTGTCTGGCTGTGTCCACATATACACTTTGGTCGCACATACATACGCTGGCTCGCTCTCACATTGCGTAGCACATGCCTTCGCCACGACTGTAAACATCCAAACATTGCGAAGCATGTGATGAGCACTGTTCACTGCACATGCCAGCAATGTGTGTATTAATTCGCCTTAAAGTGGCTTTTTCAGCAATTAAAATTGCTATCGTCAGTATATATTTCAAATCAGGATGCCAGTTAATGTTAATAAGGGTTTATTTTCACATTGTATAGTTATGCAGCATGTTGTTTAATAGGATAAGGAGCATGTTGTTTAATAGGAGGAATCTATTTCTAAAAATTCTGTTAACAGGTTCTTTCAGCCAATAACCCAATAAGTAAGTAGACATACCTGTATTTATGCCGATCGCCTGATAGTATAGATGTAAACTCCGCATCAAACCCAACAAAACAGGCTTTTTTCAAATCTTTAGTTATATTTACTAATTGCTCAGTAAAGTTATTCTTGGTTATCTCCATGGTGATTCACTGTTTCTTGTTACTAAATATCAAGAATAACATGAAGTTTTAGATACTTCAATGTAATTAAATTCACTTAGTTTGTAAATGATAAGTATTGATAAGGGAATAGATTTTTCAAAAACAAACAACTGTCATTATCGTATCGAAGCAAAGTATGAAATGGCCACAGATAACTGTATACTAGCAAATGGCGATCTGAGTTTTTTTTTTCCGAGAAATCAATTCTTTTATCAAGCAGTCAAAGTATCGATTTCTACAGCAAAAAATTTCGTTATTTTAAATCGACAAATCGAATTAAATCGATTCAGTAAATGAATAAGACACCTCAGAAAACGACATTTGATATTCGATTCGATGCGACATTTCTCTCTTTTCATAAAAACCATAAAATTATTTACAGTTACTTGAATGTATTAGATATGTAAAGCCTTACATGCTGCTATAAGAGTTCATGACGATGAGTCAATAACAAGTGCATCGTTAGTGTCATTTTTGCAGCTACTTTATTCTCAAAAACAGTTTTTCACTGAATTATTAATAAAAGCCATGACCTCTATGAGTACACCACCACCATACCAACAGCCTGTAATAGTCCACTGCTGGACATAGGCCCCTACTTAGAAAGTAGGTTTTGGCATACTATACCACGCTGGCCAGACGGGTTGTTATAGGGTCTGTTTCAGGTTTCCCTTCTCTTTGCAGTGCTGTTGTGTTGCGTAGTGTGCTCCCTTAGTCGGCTCTTCATCATCTGTGCCTTACAAGCGCCTTTTTTCGATTGCAGGCAACAGCGCAAGTGATGAGCGGTACCACTTGGATCCCAGTAGACTTGACACACTGTTGTTTCTCATAATCTAAACTTTTTGATATAACGAGGAAAAAAGCGATATGTTATATTTTGGGATGGTTATAAAAGCAAAAAAAAAATCTGAACTAAACAATTCCCTGATATTAATTTCACTCTTAAAATTAATAATTACCTCATTTTGGCAACATTTTTCATTGATACTCGGCTCTTATTGGTCATAGCGTGATGTTATATAGCCTTTTCGATAAATGGGCTATTCAACGCTAAAAGATTGTTTCCATTTGATTGAACCAGTAGTTCCTGAGATTAGCGCGTTCAACCGAACAAATAAACAAACAATCAAACTAGAAGAGTTTGATGCTCTGTATATTTGCTTTATAATATTAGTATAGATAAGAGATTCGTTATTATGGCATCGTTCTTGTTTAAAAAGATAGGGTTTTTTTTTACATTATAAATGAAGACTCAAAACATAATTGGTGTTAGAGGATTGGATCTTTTATACCTCGATCAATTGGTGAAATTATTCGTCAGGTGTGAACAGGATCAATTCAACAATCATTCTTTTTCGAAAAGACATACCAATGAAATAATGTTGCCAACTACCATAAATCCGAAGTCGATAGTCAGGCAGGTCACAGTCAGGCAAATTCTTATTATAAAAGAGTTGGTCTCAGAGGATGGCCAGTCCCATTTTAAGTAATCTTAAGTAAATAAAATACGTAATCTTTCAAAAACCTTTGTTTGCTATAAATGGGGTGCAATATTATATTATACTATCAAGATTACTGGGCGACAGAAGTGCAGGAATAGAAGTGAATAAAGGAAGTGGAATGAAGATGAAAACTTATGAAACCGATAATTCTCAAGTAGATGTCTTACAATTGTAAACCATTTTGGAAAAGTATGACCATGACCAAGTTTATGATTATGGGAACTCGTAGTATAATATTATTTTACACAATTTTAAAAATCCATGACTAGAGTAATTTAATATTTCCCAGCACAATGTTCACTTTTGTAGTGGTTGAATTCATCACAAAGGTTCTGCTACCGCTTCGTTTAATTAAATCGATGACAAAGTAGCTGAGTTAAGGTAGTGATTTATATACGAATCTTCTACTCCATGTACAGCCTCATTAGCTGATAAGTATTGAGATCGTAGAAAATATAATGGGAGACAGATTGGTCTATTATATTATAGCTGAATTAACAATGACTCCTTACTAAGCAGACAAATTAAAATATTAAATGTAACACTTTAGAAGTAGATTCTGGTATCAATAATACTATCACAAATATTGCCTTTAAATGGAAGGGAGTTATCCAGTAATGGTTTTTTATTCTTGAAAAATTCAAGTAGCGATGAACCAAGTTTTTTGGATAGACTTCCTAAGAACTAATATTACAATTTATAAAATGAAATTTTAAATAACTGCAATTTTGAGAAAACATCGTTTTTAACAAAACTTTAGCTGCCGTTGCCCAACAAAAAATAAAATGACAAGTTGGCAATTGTCTCTAAAGTGTCACGCGTGACGGATGAACGATGGTTCCGTTATGCACTTGTTGACAGTTTGTTTTGTTATGGTTACTTTGAGTAAGATTTCTAAAAATATAATGAGAAATGGAGAGACTACGCCATGTTCAGGCGAAAAGCGTTTCATACCATTGATTTCTCTTGTGAATAAAATATATCTAGTATTGCCATCCTCCAGATAAAATATCTACTAACAAAAAATAACTTAGTTTTACTTTTAAATGCAGGATTTAAAAATAGTTATCTAACTAATACCCAATTCGTAATTTTAGCTTTATATCTGTTGTGTATCGATTTTTGTATTAAATCATTCATAAGGTTCACACACTCACTCCACATCCCTAGCGTAACTGTATTGGTAAGATGGCCGAGTTGGTCGATGCTCTGCAAAACAATAAATAAATATGAAACAAGGGAAGTGTTCTTTTTCTTAATAGAAGAGAAAAGTCTCCAGCTCTCATATACCTTCAACAATATCAGTGTAATTAAAGCCATAATGGATTTTACGTGGAATAAAAACTAACGTAAATACCAAAAGTAAACATCTCCTTTGCTTAAAGCTCAGAGCATCTAGCAATTTTACAGTTGTTTTTAAGGAGATATTTTAATGAAGTGATTGGTTTGATAGTCGTTAAAAACAGAGTACGAATGTGCCAGACAGGTATTGCCGGTGAAGGTAGGTAAAATGAATCTAGTCAATTGGGCTTAATTTGATACAAGCGGCGAAAACACTGAGAAAGAAACAAGAACGTAGACTCTTCTCTTTTTTGTGTTTCTTCGTCAAGATAGTCGTTTAATACCAATTGGGGTAGAGGGCTTTCAAAGTAGAGACGTGACGGTCTGGAATTTTGTCAAACCGAGTTGAATCGGTTTGACAATTCGTGGGAATCGGTTCCAAACCAAACAGTTAAAATTGCAGTAAACCGCAGTTTGAACCGTATGATGAGTTGACCAGCGAATGAAAGTGATGTGCAGCATACGAAAGTGATGTGCAACATGATTCGATGGGATCGATCAAACCATCGTTTTACGGTTTGTAAACGGTTGGCAACCAAGCTTACATAAAAGCGCTAAACTTGACATTACCTATACTAACCGATGACCGACGCGGCCACGGTTTGAATTGATTGGTAGTTTGTTGAGAGCTAAGGGAAATAAAACAAACAATTCAGTCAAGTAACACGATTACCAAGCCTTTCTTTTTCTCATTTGGTAGATGTAAGAAAAATATATAGGTATGTTAGATCCGGACGGTTAGTAAATCGGTTTATGACCGGGCACGTTCCAGCCTGCAGATATTAAAATTTCAAAAAAAATAGTAGATAAATATAATTCACTGCCGTGACGCATCGACTCGGTTCAGAATCTGTTGGTAGATAATCAGTATTGTTCAATCGATAAAGCAGGAGCAGCGAGCGCGAAGTACGAGCACTAGTAGTACAGTACGACGCGAAGGTCAGCGCGATCTTATGGTACGTCTGAACCGGTTTAAAACACGGGCTAATCGAGTCAACTCGGTTCATGCTCAAACTGGTTAGAAAAGTCGAGTCGTTACACCTCAAATTCAAACTGGGGCAACGCACTTGTTGCAGGTCCAGAGTTGCAGGTGACACGTCTAATTCTTTGCTCGCTAAACCATGAACACAAATACCAGTCACGAAAAATACCGACCATAATATATATTTGTAAGTTTTTTTAAGTTATTTATCTCAAACGCTGGAGAGAGAGGGCGCTATTATTAAGTGCCTGCCCCGGTTCGAAAAAAATGGTAGATCCGGGGCTGTCTGAAGTTGATTGATAAAACATCCCGCTGCAATTTATAGAAGCGGACTACTGACCGTAAAAGTAAAAAAGTGGGAAACTGCATTATTGTATGAAAATGTATAAAGACAATGGCCCATGCTGGTCTACGGCAAGCCATCGCCACTGTGTACACTTATGAGTATACTCAAGAGTGGTATACTATACTGGGTATAATTATTACAACCAGTATAGTATCCCACTCAATACCCTTTAATGTTTTTCATAAATTAGGTAGAAAGTAGAATTTTGAAACGCTATAAGACCTATTTCTTAGCGTTCCTAGGATTCACCGTGCGGGTGCTGGGTCCATCGCGTGATATATGGGGGCAACAAATTTGACTTCGATCGCCTGGGAATTGCGACCCAGGTATAGATTTAGGGAGTAATCCTTGCCACGACGCGTCATCGCACACCTCAACTGTCTGCTGTGTTACCCCCTCTACCTAACCAAATTTGATACGAGCCTAGCAATGCTGCTTTGGATATTCGTTCAAGAAAAGAGCTTACTGAAGCTCTTGGCAATCCAAGGTCTTTAAGCAGGTTATACAGGGATTTAGCTGGTATACCCACTTCCACGGCATACAACACATCGACATAACTATTTTTAGTTATTTCGTTGGTTAAGTCAAAATACTTGTTTCTTTTTAAAGCGTGGTCTTTAGGGATGTTCATTTCCCAGGGCGCCGTGAGTTCTACTAATACTACACTGAAATTGCATAAAGAAATATGTCTGGTCTGGACACCGAGGCACAGATATCCGAGGAATATCTGTGTCTCGGTGTCCAGACAGTATTCTGTAATGATTTCCATACGTGTCCACTAAGCTTTTGTAAAGTCTTTTTTTAGCCTTCCTTTAGAAACGCGATGTTAGTTCTTATGTTTAATGTTATTTCTTTTTTCGATCTCGCCAGTGATAAACTTATAGCTTCTCATATGATTTGTAATACCCTATCATGGTGATGTGAATAGTGCCCCCCGTCTAATAGCGCCTTCTGAATCTGTCAGTAAGTGCCTGGCTGTACCTATTTCCGCACTGCACATCGTTCAAGCCTTTTCTGTAGCTTTTCCAAACCCCATTAGGTTGCTTTGATCGGGGCATAGTCAATTGAAAAGTGTTGGGGTAAAATTTTAAGAGGGTGGGTGACCACTTGCATTTTTAAAATAAATACGTATTTCACAGGTTTCACACCAGGTTTGATATTTTAAGGTAATACTGGCTTTTGTCCGAGTCTTCGGTCTCGTTCAATTGATTTTACTATCTCTTTAGGAAAAGTGACAATCTGCATACAAAATGTAGTAATGGGTCTAGTCTGACTCTGGGTGTTCTTTATGTCCGTTCCATGTATGTTTGTAAAGTCCCTCGCGACACAGGACATTTTCCTAATTCGAGAGTTGTATTTAAAAAATAAAACTTTATTATTCGCGCATGGAGTAACGGTCACTGCGATCAAAGACTTTGTTGATGTTTGGAGGGAGTACTGCAGTTCTCTCGAACATCTGACATAGAACGCCATCTAGTTTCAAATTAAGCAGAGCTTGTACTATGAAAGCACGAGAATAAATTAATGCTTTTTTTGTGAATACATACATATTATACATAGAATACACCCAAACTCCGAAACAAATATTTGCAGATCATGCAAACATTTGGTCCGACCTGGGAATCGGATCCGAGACCTCAGCACAGCAGTCGCATTCGCTACCACTGCGCCACAGATGCGGGCGGTCGTTTATACGGCGATAAATGATAGAGAAGGGCAGAGAATTTAACAGGTCGCTATTTATCTGCTTTTTTGATTTCCGTAAGGCGTTCGACACCGTCTTATGGGAGCGTCTCTGGAAAGTCTTATCGGAGATGGGAGTACCGCAACATCTGATATTCCAACTAAAATGACTTTACGAAGACGGAACAGCAGCAGTACGAGTGGACAGTGTACTTTCGGACACTTTCAAGACAGAATCCGATGTTTTCGCCAGAGGTGTATGTTGTCGTCTTTACTTTTCAACATTTATACCGGAATAAAAGTATTTCAGTCGGGGCCACGTATTCGTATTTCTAATCTTTCTTTACGGGTTGAAACCTGATTTCTTACAAAACAAGATCAGTAAGAAATCGATGCCTTAGAAATAGGTTATCGTCGATTCTGCAGTTGCGAATTCTCAAGTTCTTTGGGCCCGTGTGGACGGCACAAGACCACGGGGTCGGTCGGACATCGCAAGACGTGCACCAGCCCTGAAAGTGAGCGGCGACAGCGAGCCGCAACCCTGCCCATCAACAGCCACGATCACTCTGGCAAGAGTGTCCGACTAAGGAGATTTTCCAAGTTTACGACATTAGGCTTGCCTTGAAAATATTTTTGTAAAATAATGTCTAATAAGTGTCTGCCTTCCCTACGACGCGAGTGTCTAATTGTATATTTAATTTACCTTTTAAATGTAAGACTCGATAGGTTTAGTCACGCTAAATATATTGTAACACAATATTTATTGTCATAAATTAGACGTAAAAAATGTAAAGCTGCTATGATCGAACGACAAAAAAAACTCCAAACGTCATAGTTAAATGAAAAATGATTGTTTTGCTAGGATAGCGAAAAACATGCGCTAATAAAGATGTGTAGAAGAGTTTATGACGTCGAGGTTAATAAGCATGTTTTCTTATTTTGTTAAAACAAATATTAGACTAATCGAACGTCTATATAAACACATACATACTCTTCAGTCGTCAATCATCGTTACACTGAGTATTTTCACTTAAATGAGACAAAGATAGAGGTCCGGGTCCCCGTCCGGTCTGGAATAGTCGAGTAGTATAGACAGACACGTGAGTAAAACTTTATATTTTGGTTTTGTCAATCCGAGGAGAATGTACCTACTAGCCTAGTCTTCTGTGTTTATAGGCTGCTTAATTACTTTTCGTAATCGAGAGCATAATATAATATGTTTCTTTACTACATTTAATATTATGAAGAAAGAAGGAACGCAATAGTGGCACCTTCTGGGGCGACAGTATTAAACAAACTGGGTAAATAAATATGAACCTTATTCTAAATTATTATTTAAAATCTTTTATTTGTATTAGAATCTTATCATCAAGATTATTTTATTTAAAATAAATTATCTATAATTAATTATTTAAACATAATAATCATGTAAAAGATATGGAAAATTACACCAGTTACATAAAAACGTTAATAACCGACACAGTGTAATGGTGGTAGAACGGGATTTTAATAATAGTTACACAATATAACGTTGCGCAACTACAGAGAGAGTTCATTTTCGGACGCGTCAATTTACTTCAGAATTGGAGCCCCAATCGGACCTCGGTCTGGTAATTGCGATCGTCGAAGCGTGGGGCTGCACCAAAGTGTTGCAACTTGACTGAAGGCAAAGCGATAGCCAGTTGCCACTAAGTGGCAGACTCGACGTATCGCGTGGTCGTATTGCGTCGCGAACCTCTCACTCGAACAAACCGGAACAATAAAAACAACACTTTGTAACATAAACATGTAACTTAGTAATACTTGAAACTAAACTTTTGAGTAAAACCATGGGGTCGGAAACCGAAAGTAGTGAAGTGCGTGATTTGTCGTTGCTTAAGCCTAATTACATGCTTTTGTCCTTGCAGAGGATATTAGTGCTGACTGTGATATTAGCCGGAGTTATCCTTGTGGTGTATTACACGCCAATGCCAGGTAAAAACCTGTTTATATTATTTCTTAACGATGATAAACTCCTTGGTTTATCATCGTTAAGAAATAATTAATTTGTGTGTGTTTTAAAATAGTTTTGATTGAATCAGCTGTTTTTTGATATTGACATAGGAAAAATAAAGATGATTTACGTTCTAGAAATATACCTACATAACATACATTGTCACATTGTACCTTTTTATTTAATATTGAAAGGTACAAACTTTTTGTTCTACAATGCTGTTAATATGTATTATGTACCTTGCATCTATTTTTTCATCCAGTAAATGAAGCCGTTACGCTTAAAATTCAGGTTGATTTTATGATTTATTGTATTAGTAGCAAGTTTTTTTTTTTACTCACTGAAATATACTATTTTTAGTTTTAATAAAGCCAGAAAAAATATTATTCGAAGCAATTTTATTTATCTTGTAATATCTCAGATGCTTACGTCATGAATACATTTCTTAATATGATGAATGTTAATGTTAATTATTTGTTAATTTTCAGAAGCGTATTTCGAAAACTGTGACCGCGAATGCCACGAGCTGGACTGGCCCATGATATGTAGAGTCAAACTAGTTATTGAAGTCTATAAGACACTTAGCAAGTAAGACACACATCCTTTTTTCGTTTCACTATCATTAAATTGTATTCTAAATGCAACTTATAACTATATATTAATTAATTATTTTTCAAGAAGAAATATTAAGAACCAAGACAACTTTTAATTATTATTTAAGAAAGTGGAGCTGGGGTTTAACTTCTTTTTCTCCAGCTATTGATATTGATTACCCTTTTAATTTTACAGGTCCTGTGGAAGCTGCACTGAGAAAAATGGAGGGGATTGTCCAGCAACATGCATATCCGCAGATGGCCGAGTACGTGGTGTCCTCTCGGCTAACAGAGAACTACCATCACCCACTCTCCACGTTTGCCACAATGATATACTAGTCGTCGACGTGGTACATCGTGCTCCTGCGCATGCCCTATCTATACACTGGAGAGGACAACCCCAAAAAGAGACTCCATTCATGGATGGAGCTCCTATGTTAACACAGTGTCCACAGCCTGCATATACTACATTCCAATACAAGTTCCGAGCATCATCAGTAGGCACACATATGTACCACGCACATTCTGCTGCTGATGCCGCCGACGGTCTCTCGGGAGCCTTCATTGTCCGTCAATCATCTCGCCTAGATCCATTAAGAAAACTTTACGATGTAGATGACACCAAACACACAATTTTTGTGTCGGAATGGGGCCATTCAATGGGTCCGTTGGCAGGAGTCATATCAAGTATTCCTAACGCAGAATCGCTCCTCATTAATGGTAAAGGAAATTCATCTGAATCCCCCGACACTCCACTGTCTTCGTTCAATGTGGAATATGGAAAAAGATATAGATTCCGGTTAGCATACGGTGGAGGGTCAAAGAGTTGTCCTATTAAGTTTTCGATTGATCAACATGTCTTGGAAGTTATCACTTTAGATGGCCATCAGATTGAGACAGAACATGTAAGTTCTATTGAGATAGGTAGAGGAGAAAGAGTTGATTTTATTATCGATGCTAAGAGAGCACCTGGTGTTTATAAGATGAAAGTAATGGCGGTTAAATCGTGTCAGGACAATTTAGATGGTATGGCGAATTTAGTTTATGAAAAGGTGGAGCAAAAAGTGTTACGTAAAGATGAAGAAGCGTTTGATTCTAATGTGTATCGTGAGTTAACAACAGTGTCCAGTGATAATTGTGCATCTGAAAATGTGATATGTTTGAACGAGGTACACGCCACCAACAAGATCCCTGAAGAGCTAGCTGCAGCCGTTGAGGAGATAGTTTATGTGCCTTTTAATTATTCCACGAAGCAAATTTCTGCGAAACGCGTAGGTAAGTAGTTTAATTGTTAAAAAACTTTCCTCTGTACAAAATTGCGTGGTCAAAAGTAGTCTACATACGATTGTTTTAGTAAGTATTTGATAAGAGTAAGATTGTTCGTTTAGATTTCATTCTTAACATATGTTTGATTGCATCTACTTAATGTATGACTGCATTGTTGACGCCTTGATTTAATTGGCAAACTTAACCAAGATCCTTTCTAGACAAGAAATGATTTGCCTAATTCACAGTGTCCATAAACATACTGGCTGTCCCCTGGCAAAAAGTAGTATCTAGACGAGAGTGGTTTGTTTTTAAACCAAATTAGGTTCTTCTAGGATTAAAGAGTTTATTCAATTTAAAATAATGTAGGTATTAGATAGCCTCTTTTGATGGTACTCGTAGATAGTTGTAGTCGGTAAGCTGAACAGTATAAAAAAAAACAATTACACATGTATTTATGGTCACTGATTGACGCTTTTGTCGGATTAAAGGCTTGAGAGCCTTGCATTATAAAACTGTTTTTGAAGTAGTAACTACCTGTTTTAAATCCACATGGAATGTGTTTCTATATACCAAACATAGGTCAATGTTACTTCAAATTAAAAAAAAAGACAGAGGATTTCTCACGAAATTATTCACATAGACAGTGCTACACAAAGGAATTAAAATAACTATGTATGTAATACCCTAAATAAGAGATCGCGTTAATTCCCGTTAAATAATATTAATTATCATGAAACGCGAAAGTTTAAAAGTTAGTATAACTATTTAATATATGGCAAATAGATGGAAACACTTAACTTCTCGGCTCGTGTAAAATAGTAAAATGAATTTAGTATTGGTAATTAAAATACACACGGACTCAAGTTATATAAAATACCTCAGGTAGATACACTAAATACCTTTGTGTCTTGAGTTAACTTTTATTTCTCGTGACACATTTAGGGATCGTAAGTTAACCTCATATGTAAGTGTTGACCTATTGTCCTTTATATGAAGGATTCGGTGGTTTCGTGTGGTAATGGCTTATGAATACACAGTGTCACCACACCTACTCATATCGTAGGTGTCGTAAGAGCCGACTAAGAGAGCAAACTACGCAGGAAAACAGCACTTGAAAGAGAAAGAAAACTTGAAATAAACCCTATAACTCTGGCAGGCGTAGAAAAGTAGGCCAAAACCTCCTTTCTAAGTAGAGGCCTATCAGCCTATGTCCAGCAGTGGACTACTAAAGACTGTTGATGATGAAGATAATAAAATACTTATCTTATTTTAAAATACAGCACTGTTGGTTCCTGGTAAATAAACCAGCAGAGGTAATAAAAAGATGAGTATTTTTACTGCAAGACACAATAGGCAAATATATTGGTATATTGGTTTCGCTTTTCTGAATAAAATTGTCTATGAATAGTCAGCCTGCAAATGAAACTATTCAAATTAAAATGCATATACTTACTTAGCTATATTACTCGTTTACGTCGAATTCAATTTATGAAATATTCAGCTTAAGCTTGCATTGAATTGTTTTGATATTGATTTTTATTATATGCTATAAAGTTTCAATATTACTTATTTTTTATAATAATAATATTATTTATTTTCATGGCGATTTTCAAATCTATTGAATAATACTTTGTTTTTGGATTTATTTTAGGGCCCTTAAACTAGGGAGACTCGATGAACCTGGCTAACTGTTGTTGGATACTGAATACTACTGAATATAGTAAAGCGATTTTTTTATGCTATTAACTCTAGAAAGATAACTTCGCTTGTACACACAGGTTTATTAAAAAACTTGTTTTCAATCAAAAGACATCTCTATTAGGAGAATATGCAGTCTTTACATACATACGAACATACCTTATGACCTTTTGAGTATAGGAGGAACTGGCAGTTGATAATGGATTTCATTAGCCTCGAGAACACGTATAGTCATATCTCATAGTTATATCTCCATAGTTGGCCGGATTCCTTTGACGGCCACCTTTTTTAGGGATCAGGTGCTCTAAAGCTGTAAATTCATGAGTTCGGGACGAACTCCTGTTAAAATTCTTGCAGGCCCACTCGCCTTTTGGATATGCCAAGTATATTGTGTACTTTCGAAGTAACCTTAAATAACTAAAATATATTTCAATAATAGTGCTAAAGACTAAGGAAGCAAACTACGCAGGACAAGAGCACTGCAAAGAGAAGGAAAACTTGCAATACCAACCTGTCTGGCCAGCGTGGTATAGTAGGCCAATTCCAAGGAGAGGCCAATGTCCAGCAGTGGACTGTTATATGATGATGCTGGCTGGTGATGTGATGATGTGTGATGTGACATCACGAATTATCACACTCTGTTTAGTTTGCGTAACATTAGCCATGCATCATTTTCTGCATTTACTAATTATGAATACTTAATTGTAGTAACTATTTAAAAAAATGGATCATAACACAGTGCAAGTTACATGCATATATCGCATATATCAACAATTCGAATAAACTTAAATCTGTTTAACCGAGGTCCAGTTAATTATTTAAAATTGATGAATAGGATATTTTTTTAGGTATTAGTTTTATCTAAGCGAATCATTAGTGTTAAAAGAGTATGGGTATGATTTAATCAGTTCATAACATAAGTGTCACCTGCCGACGGTTTTAAGAAAGCAAAAATCTTATGCTTATCTCTAACTAACTCAATACAAACCCGCTTTTATATTGCTCTGTGTATTAAATACTTAGTTTTTTATCATTATTAGTTTAAGAATTTGTTAAGCATTTAACTTAATTTTTTATATCGTGTTCATGTAAGATTTGCACATATAATAAAACCGAAATACTCTGGTATAATCAATTGAACATGACGGGTTAGGGGACTTAAAAGAGCCACTTGTGTGTCAAGGTCATTTTGTGTGAGTGTTTGTGTATCTATTACCAACGTAGGCAAAGAAAGCAGAGTTTGTTTTCTTTCAATAAGGTCTAAACGACCCGGCCGTCCGTTCGTCCAGTAATAATAATAATACTGCCGAAAGGTCTCTGTTTAAATTTTCATGTTCGGTAAATTGTTTCAGCTAAACAATGCTCCTTGTTTAAATTGTAACGCAATTGTAAATTGTTTTTTGTCTACTTTTTCTATGTCACATTAGAATTCACTGTCTTAAGGAAGACATTATAAATTCTATCACTTCACAAGACACGGTCGGGAAAAAAAATCGTTTGAGTAGCTACAGGTCGCTTAAGTATTTTTACTAAAAGATTTCCAGGGTTTATATGAGTCGAAATGCTTAACATTTTATAATTTTATTAATGGCAGTATGTAGTATTGTTCCTTTGCCTTCCTTTCCTGCTTTTACTGACCTGCTTGTAGTTAGCGAAAAGCGATTATTCTGTGACAATACGCCTATTCATGTCATCTACGGGACTTTGTGTAACATTGCACAAGATTTTTGCATTTTTTTTAGCCTGCATGATCTGCATGACACCAAGCTTATTTGGAAATGTAATCATTTTCAGACGGGACATTTTCAACAAAAACGGTACAACGGTGAGGAAAACGGATAGGGCGAGGGAGATAGATATCATCCATAGATTGGGGTAATCTGTGGATAGAAAATCGGGATTGAGACTGCACTAGTACGAAGAAGCCAGGGTCGTGTACCCGAATGTGTGTTATGAAATTAGAGACGCCGTTAGACCAGGGTCATCAAATGCTTACGGTGACGAAATAGCGAAAGAATTAAAAATATGTATATTAGCGAGTCAATTACAGCAAACATTAAAAATGGGCATGTTAAAACTTGTTTTGTTAAAGGCCTTCTTTTGCGGATGTTATGAACATTTCACGTTCATTTGAGGTAGAGCTGGGCCTACATATTTTGTTATATAACTAGCTTAAGCAACATAACATGTTAGTAGGTCACGACTTTACTTACTTATTTTGTGTATTTATCATCTTCAATAATCTCTAGACATACACTCGAGGTGTTAAATTTTTGTGTAATCTTGAAATTATAAATTATCGAAAAAAAGCAAATCTTCAAAGAGTGTTATAAAAAGTGATGGGTGGACACGCGTCGGTCGTCGTTCGCACGCGACTGACGTTCAGAGAACCCCGGGCCTTATACGGGCAGGCGCTAGGAGAGGTCCAGATATCTTATTAAAACTGTTCCTCCTATTTAAGGAAACCTTAGTAGGATGACGGCCCGAGGGGGTTACTACACATATAAAAAGAAATGTATACACACTAAGACGTTTTAGTAGATAGAATATTCAACTGTTTTGACATCTTTTTACAGGTTGACTTGAACTTGCCGCCAAAAACCAAATCAAATTACTGGTATGCGATCCTGACCTTATCTATTTATTATTTACATTCCTCATCTATTCATGTAAGCAATACTTATTACTTTCTTACCATTGCTTTACTTTCTCATCTACCTTTAAATTTAATGCCTTTAGTCCCAATTTTGATGGCAATACGAGTACGCTTGTCTCTATTACGTAAATGGGACAAAAATTAAGGCAATCAAGGCGAGAAGTGGGCGTTAATACATCTCTGCTTTCTACTTAGAGCACATAGGGGTAAATGTATTTATGTGTATGAACACCTTTACTTAGTATTAAATATGTGGTACCGTGCACAAAGAATGTTAATACTAAGATTTATATAAGGGTAGAGTAGATTATATAACGGAAATGCGTCTTAACTAATAGTGCGCCCATTCCGAGAATGCCTAGTAGTGAGAATGTGTGTATTGTAATGCCTAATGCCTATAGAATGGATAGTTTCGGACTTGACGGGAGCCGTGGATGTTATGGACGTTAAGTGTTTACTTTTTATTTTAAGCTAAAGAAAAATTATCTCTAGTTCAAATCTTTAAATCATACAGATCAGACAGAGTATTAGAGTTTTTCTCGCTTTATGATGATTGTTTATGTAGTTCAATAGTGTAAGCATGACAAACAAACAAGATATCAAACTCGCGCGCAATTATAATAATGGTTAGGATAACGCTGAGGGACAGATC